TCTTGAAGTTACATTTTTAGAGCTTCTTGTGAACCCAAAATAAAATATACATCTGCGTTGGTGTCTTTAAACTCAAATTCGAGAATATATTATAACAATTGCCTTGATGTGCATTCTCGAATTTGAGTTTAAAGACACCAACGCAGATGTGTATTTTATTTTGAGTTCATAAGAAGCTCTAAAAATGTAACTTCAAGAAAATTAGATCAAAAAAGTTAATAGTTAGTTAATTCATAATAAAATTAATTGAATTGAAAATTAAGTTAATAAAAAAAAATAATTGAAAAGCTAAAAGTCAAATTTTATTTATTTTAGGGTTTCTAAATAAAATTTCTAAATAAAGTGTACATTTGTTATATTATTTCTGTCGAGCCGCGGAAAGAGGATCGATTTCGAAGGACTTCTTCCAACATGATTTAATGCTTCGAAATCGATCCTCTTTCCGCGGCTCGACAGAAATAATATAACAAATGTACACTTTATTTAGAAATTTTATTTAGAAATCCTAAAATTATGAAATAAATAAAATTTGACTTTTAGCTTTTCAATTACATTTTTTTTATTAACTTAATTTTCAATTCAATTAATTTTATTATAAATTAACTTGTATCTTAATTTGTAAGTTAAATTTTTAAGACTGTCAACTTTAACTTAACAGTTAGAAAAATATATTAGCTTACCCAACCCTGCTCATGTGTTTTTCTTTTGTAAAACATTACTGACGCAGACGTTCCTTTCACATTTTTCTTTTCTTTTCCTCGTACATAGGCGCTAGGCGGAATCTTTCAAACGTCTGGCTGGCCAGGTGTAGTAACTGTCGTGGGAAATTGGTTCGGGAAAGGCAAGCGCGGACTGATTTTCGGAGTGTGGAATTCACATACATCCTTAGGAAACATATTGGGCAGCTTGATCGCGGCGGCATACGTCGAGTCGGATTGGAGCCTTAGCTTCATAGTACCCGGAGTGATAATGGGATTCGTGGGATTCGTCGTCTTTCTGTTCCTAATACCGAACCCGGTCGACATAGGATACAGCTCGCCCGCCTCCCTCGGCTATCGAAAAATCGATGTAACGAACAGCTCGGACGATGACTCGACTGACGTAGGTTACGAATCTCGTAGTGTCACCGAGGACGTAAGTATTCGCCGCACGGTTGTCAAAAACCGTTGTTCTTGCGCTTTTTTTTATTCAGCAAATACCAGTAATACCGTAGTTTTTTTTTTATTTCAATAAACGTGAAATTTTGTAGCGTAACACATGTTTGTCGATTAACATACGTAATAGCATGTTCATAATTAAAATTATAAGCATGTCGCCTGTTTACTTTACGTTTCTATGATTACAATTTTGTTTCTTTTTAAGCCTTTTTGTCTTAGTATAGGTATTTCTAGTAACATGTGAGCGCCACGATGAATCATTAAATTATTTTTAGTAGAATTATAGCTTGCACTTCTGTAATAAATATGCATCTACCTGTACCTAGCGCGTCGTCTATCGCTGCGTCTACCGTGAACAACTCGCTGCTGACGTAAGTGCATGCCACTCTATAACACCGCCTATATAGCTTTAATAAAATGTAACATAAATACGCGTATGTATTATTGCAATGCATGTGTTATATACATATACATGGCGCACATATTTAAGGGGTTATATACACTTGCAGCGCGAAAGATGACATTTTCACGATTTTTTTTTCGACAGCAAAATAAAAATTTATTTAGAAACTATTAATGGTACCATTTAGTACATGTTTTGGAATACATGTCAAATTTTTTTTGTTAAAAAATATTTAAAAATGGCGGAACTGCAGCTGTTGCCCTGGAGCGCCTAGTTTTAAGCGGAGGACAAGATTACTCGAGAACGGATCATCTGAAATCAAAATGTAAACAGATTTCGTTAGTATATTGTATATTATCTAGTAAATGAACGAAGGATTTTCAGTTTAATCAAAAACTTTTTTTTTACGGCAAAAAACTCGAAAATTTAACACCTTGAAAAATGAACTTTTTGTTTAAATCGTTGCCATTTTTTTAATAATTGAAATTTTGACAAATCCTTCGTTCATCTACTAGAGATCGGAAGAGCACACGTC